CCCGTGCGCGGGCGAGCCGCCGCCCCCATTCCCGCCCGCGGCAACGCGCGCCTCGCCGCGGGCAGGGGCGCAGATTCTAACGCTGAGCCCCATAGCGCCAGAGTCAGCCGAGTCGACTCGACCGAACTATTCGCTGGCCAGCACGCGCGCCACGCTCCAAGCGCCGCGCTGGACAGCGCCCGCGCTTTGCGCGCCAGGCGCTCCGGGGCGTTCTGACGCCATCCCATCTGCGCCCCCAGACGCGCGCGGCCGCGCTGCCACGCGGGCGCGCCTTCGATTGGACGCGGCGCAGGGGCGAGGACGAGCGGAAATTGCGGGCCGACCGCCACCTCTCCTCCGCGTGCACTCGCGGCAAAGTGGCGAGAGTTGCACGCGCGGGGAGCTAGTGCGGGACGCCACCGCCGCGCGGGCGCCGCCATCGTCGAAGCCCGCAGGCGCGCGAGGCGAGGCCAGGTCACCGCGCCAGAACGCAGGCGCGCGCCGGGCCCAGGCCCAGCCGAGCAGCGAGACCCAGCGCCCGGGGGACCGCTGGGCAGACAGGAAAGAAGAAGTCTGTCGCGCTTGGAACAGCGGCAAATGCCCGCGCGGTTCCTCCCACGTTCGCAGCCACTCCGCGGGGATGGGGCCAGATCCGCGCAATGCGCAACCACGCACCCGCGGAGTGCCGCCGCAAGACGGCGCAGCAGCCAGCCAGCGCTGCCGCCGCAGACTCGCGGGCGCGGCGCTGAAACGCCCCCAGCGCGACAAACGCAGGCGCCGCGGCATGGGGCGCCAACTCCCACCTGCGGTTCCCGCAAGGTGGCGCGCACGCAGCGCCCTGGCGCGCTTTCCGCTCGAGTGGCTCGGCGAGGTGCCGACGCTTCGCCTGGGTGATTTAAACCAAGAGCCGTCGCAATACCAATTGGTGCGACAGCATCGATATCACATCGCCAGTGAGAATGCGCAGGGCCTCCGCTCCGCCGGGCGAACGGCGGCGCCCCGGGGCCGACAGGCGGGCGCGCTGACCAGCCAGCGGGCGGGCTCTGCCAGCCGCCTTCGGGACAGGGCTGACGGGCGAGCAACACTTCGCCGCGGCCTTGCAATTAAGCGTTCGTGGCTTTTCCCATTTGATGACGATGCCGCGGCAGTTCGCGACCGTTCGCACCGCGGCCAACGTCTCCTGGATTCGGCAATGGAGACGGCAGCGCGCGGCCGCTGTCGAGAGCTAGCTCAGCGACAGGCTTCAACCTGCGCCCCCCGCGCATCCGCCAGTCGGCGACGGTGCGCGGGGTAGCGGGTGGCATGCACCTGGCGCGTATCCCTGTCGTTTTTTTGGATCATAGGCTGGCCTGACCACGCACTCACCTTGCGCTTCACTGCGGGCTTCGCGCTGACGGGGGGCACCCCGCATCTGGTCGCCGAACTGACGGGAATTAGCCGAGCGCAGAGGCTGAGTTCCCGCGCGAAAGACGTCTCGAGGAGCGCGACGCCGGCCAGGGGGGCCGAGCTCCTCTCCGAGCGAGACGTGGGCACCCACTCCGGGCGCGGTCAGTGGGCGCCGATCCCCAGTTTCGCGGTCTGAAACCGGCGCTGCGTTTACAGCGTGAAGAGGTTCTGCCATAATGACATGCAGGGCTTGTCGGATGAGTCGAAGACGCGCAGCGCTTGTCAGAACTCCGCGAGCGCCCGCGCTGCACCGCACAGCCGGCGCGGCCTGGGTCGACGGCAGTGGCGCTTGGGCGCCGGCTGCAGTCCTTCGGCGACTATGCAACGCCTTTAAAAATATGCCCACCACGGAAACCGATCCGCGCGAACGTCGTCGCGATCGCAGACCCGCGGGGCGGCGAATTGAGATTTCAATATTGCTGTGCAGCTGACCATCTTCCGTCTGGAAACTCCTCGCGCTGGTCTTGCCTCCTCGAGGCCGCGGCGCGGCGCGCCCTCGCGACGCCGCGCGCGCGTTGCGTGAGCAACTGGACCATAGTCGATCGCACCGCGGGGCGCGGCGCTGGACAGACCATAGCGAACGACATGCGCGCGCGGGCGCCCATGCAATTGGCGGCCACCAGAGATTCGCCGCCGCCGCGCGACGCCCCAAAGCAGCGAATAATGTTTGGTTCCACTGTCACTGTGGGACGGAGTGGGCGGGTCGGCCATTGCCCTTCCGAAGCAGCGCCAATGCGCCGATGTCCCGCCGTGGTCGTTGAGCAACGCGCTTCGCCTGAGCTTCCAACTCTTCGGCGTAATCCTGCAGGGGCAGCCGCGCCGCATCGCCCCCCTGCGCGCGCCCCACGGACCACTGGTGGCCATGGCCAGCGACGCGCGGGCGGACGGCGGCGGCCCTCCGACTGGATGGAGGGTACTTGCTCTTAGACAGACACAGCCACGGGCCGTCGCGCGGGCTGCCGACGTTCCTTCGAGCCCGCGCTGCTCGACCTCTCGGGGCGCGCCTGGGCGAGGCTCGGCGACGGCGGCGATCGATTTGCGCTTTGCAAAGGCTCCGCTCTGGCATGGCCCCGCTCCACGTCGGCGCTCGCCGCGCGCGCGCAGGGCCGATCACTCCCCCGGCGCTCGCGCGAGAGCCGCCGGCGCCGGCGAAACGGGGGCCCGCGCAGCCTCGGGGAAGACCAACCCTTCCAGTTCACGGCGCCCAACGCAGGGCAATCTGGATCGCGGACAACACTGCGGCTCCGCGCAGCTCCATTGAAAGGCGCGCGTCGCACGTCGCGCTCGACCGCGCGATTTCAATTGCCAAGTTCCTTCGGGCGGGATGACGCGCCTGGGGGGGCCTTTCAGCCCCGAGCGCGCGCGCGCGCTCGCCCCGCGCGGGGCCGAGAACGGTCAGAATTTGGACGGAGATCGCAGGCTCTGGAGGCAACTGGGTGGACGGCACCCACGGGATTTAGGCGAGGACGCGTTCGTTGGCGCTCCCGCGTGTCACGCTGAGCGCACGCAGGCGCGCCCGCCCTCGCGCGCGGCGCCTCTGAGCCACCCACCGGGAGAGCGCTCGCAGCGGGATTGGTCCGAGCTTGCAGACCACCGCGACGCTCGAGGCTTGGGGCATGGCCCAGTCGCTGACCCAGCCGACTCGGGGCCCACCAACCCAACGCTGAGGCTGCAGCGAGCGCGCTCCTTCGCTGCCAAGCGGTCTCTGCGGACAGGATCAGCGCTGGGGAGCGCGGAGTAAGTCTGGAGAGCAGCGCTGGGGGCGTGGATCTGCCCCGCTGCCTCTGGGCACGAGGGGGAACCGCAGGACAGGCGGGGCAACAGCACTCGCCAGCGGCAGCGCCCTTTGGGGGGATGGGGGGACACCGCCCACTATTGCTACTCCGCTCTTTCTGGCCCCTGTCGGGCCCCTTCTCGCCCCCCCCCGCAGGGGGGGTCACTGGGTCGAGCACGCAGTGGTTTCAGGCCGGGGCAAGTCCGGGTGAGCGCACCATGCCCGAGCCACGCGAGGGGCCCCTGCCTTGCGCGGCCGCCTTGCAGCGCGCATCGAAGCAGCGCGCGCGCGGGCGGGGGCCCGCACAGAGTTGCGGGGGGCGCCTCGCTCCCCAGCGCGCGGGGGCGTTTGTTTTTTGGTTTCCGGTCCCACCCGCCAGCGCCTGGGGGTGCACGGGATACGGCGCGGCCACACCTCCCCGCGGTGTCGGCAGGGAGCTTGGACATGCCTTGCTGCCTCTGGGCATGAGGGGAGGCCGCAGGACAAGCGCGGCAACAGCCCTCGCCTGCGGCCGCGCCCCTGGGGGGGTGGGGGGGGGACACCGCCCCCCCATGGCTACTCCGCTTTCCCCGGCCCCTGATGGGCCCAGGATTATGACTGCTTCGGCTCGGGGTGGGTGGGTTGGTCTGGGCCCCTGCCCTTCTCGCCCCGCTCGCGTAGAGAGGGGTCATGGGCTTGGCCGGTTGGGGTGTCGTCTTGGGGCCGTCCAGAGCGGGAAGACCAGGGACCCGGGAAGTTCACGGGTCCTCTATGGGGTGAGAGAGCCGACGGGGGGGTGATTTCATGGGTCCTTCCAGGTTGCCCGCCTGATCGGCCGACACTTGAGATTGGGCACTGGAAAGGACCAGAAACATTCAAAGTTGAGCACGCCGTGTGCCCCTGTGGCAGACAGAGGGGGCGGCGGATCGGGCGGCCTCCTGCCCAACCCGCCACCGCGCCTGGGTCGTGGGGCGGAGGCGTCTTTTGAACGTGACGGTTGGGTCATGTCGAGAGTTCGATGTGTCCCACGGTCTCTGCGGATGTCTTTCGGAGGCCACGTGGAAGGTCTCGGGAGGTCTCTGTGGGGTCTATTGGGGGCCTCGTGGAGACGTGTGTGCGCCTTTCAGGGGTGCCTCGGGGGCCTTTGGGAGGCTCTCGGGGCAAAGCATAACTCCGTGCTCCCCCTGTTGGGTCCCTCTTGGGGCTGTAGTGGGAGCCTCGTGGGCTCTTATTGGGGGCCTCCTGGGCATTGGGGCCCTGCCGAGGGCCTCCAGGGACGGTATGAGTGGCTTCGTTGGCCGTCTTGGACGCTCTGAAAGACCGAAAGGACCGTGTTACTCAAATTGGTGAATTTAAAGTTTTTGTTGACGGTCTGGAGGTCCTCCAGGAGTCGTTTTGGGGGCCACGTGGGGGGACGTAGCGACAAACCTCATAACGTACGCGGCACGCCCTGGAGAATCCCGTGAGTTTGGGATCCAGGCCTTCGAGTTCTGACTCATTCAGGATAGAGGGACTCACAGGACCTGAGGACCTTCCAACTCGTGCCTCGCGACATGGTAGTGCATCAGTGATACACACTGTTTAGCGGGATCGCGTCACAGAGTGTTAGATATGTTGTTTGAATATTGTGCGGTTGCGCAGATTGTATTATCCCCCCTGTTTGGCGACCTCGTCGCGCGCATGCTGTAAGCCAACCTTCATCAGCAGAACTGGTAGCATGTACCTCGCTCAGTGTAGTGCATGGTCTGCGCTGCTGGGTTTTGAACGTGTCCGCCACCGGTTGGATCGAGTTCGCTTACGTTGTACACCATCGTTGCCGCAGTGTTTCACGTACGACTCCGACCTGACTGACGGAGACTACAAGGACCCGATTCCTGCAGACCTGCTCGAGTGGTGTCGTTTCGCTGGGCACGGGGTAACGGCAGGTAGATGTTTGTAAGAGTTGCGTGGCTCCTTGTTTGGGGGCATGGGCAGACGAGATTCTGCGAATTTGTGCAGTTCATTGTGCATTCAGCTGGATGGTTCAAGGCGGGTGCTCGCCGTTCGCGACACGTCGGTGACGAGCCATCATCGAACGATCATCACCAACATGGCGGCGGTCTCTCGCAGCATTGTTTCTCGCGTGGGTTTGAATACGTTTGCTATGTTGCACCTTCTAGACGCGTCGCGTAACCCCACCAGCCCATCCAGAAACGAGGCCCAGGCGAGTTGCCTTGACCAGGGATGCGGAGGTGCACCACGCAGTGAAATAAGAGCTGGGGAAGCCATCTACCCAAAGAGGGGGAGTATGGAGGAGGAATCGGAGGAGGAGTGGAAGGGGGAGAGGGAGGAAGGAGGGGGGATGAGGAATAGGTTGTCGAGGAGGAGGAGGAGGAGGCGGAATAGGAGGAGGAGGACGAGCAGAAAGGTCCAGAAAGGCCAGAGGCGTATTGGATGCCTCTCGGAGTCTCTTCGGATGTCTCTTGAGAGCTTCTTGGAGTCTTCTTGGGGCGTCTTGGGGGCCTCTTGTCGGTCCCAGGGGCCTGTTGGAGCGTCCTGGGTGTTTCGGGGGAGCCTCTTGGGGCCTTTTGGGTGTCTCTTGGGAGCATCTTGGGGGCCTCTTGGGGGCCTCTGGCACATCTTGGGGCACTCGTGGGAGCCTTGAGGGCCATATTGGGGGGGGGGCATCTTGGAGGCAAGCAAGCAAGACGCCGTGTGTCCAAAAAGGCACGTGAGCAATACTCGTATTCAGCCACATCCGCAGCCTCGAGGTGAGGCAAGGCGGGCCGAAAACGAGGAGCGAGAGGGAAAGGAGAGAGGAGGGCATCGATCAAACAAGGGGGTACCCCATCGCACTTCCAGAGCACCTCAAGTCGTCTCTTGGACCCCTCCGGGTCGCTCTGGCGCAGTTCTTGGGCGCTTTTGGGGTCGTCTTGGGACCCTCTTGGGCCCCTCTTGGGGCTCTCTTGGATCTTCTTGGAGCCATCGTGAGGCCTCGTAGGACCGTCTAAAGCGACAAGGCGAGAAGGCAAACAAACATGAGTTGCCCCAGGGGTTGGAAGGATGTTGGCCTCTTGGGTGCTCTCGTGGGGGTGCTCCGAGGCCACGTGGAGCCGTCTTGGGGCGGTCTTGGGTCGTATTTAGGCATGGTGGAACCCATCTTGAGCCATCTTGGGGGTAATCTCCAGCTCTCCGAGGCCCTATTGCAGTCATCTTAGCTAGCTTGGGCGCTGCAACTTTTCGCGAAACCACTCATTCGGATCCAGGGGAAGAGGTAGGGGGTGGGATCAAGACACTTCTCCCATTCGCAAACTGTTTGGCTCACCCCCACCCACCTTCCCAACACATCACTAGTACCCTCAGCACATGCAGCGGTCGCCTTTGGATGACAGCTACTGGGAACCAATACAGACCCCAGGTGCGCTTCGGGTGCCTGACGCGCCAGGCGCGCTAGGCGCCCACGCGTGCCAGGCACGCCTGGTGCGCCAGTTGCGCCACGTGCGCCAAGTGTGCCGCATGCTCCAGGTGCGCCCGCACACATCGTGAAACACGTCGGCCCCCACCATCCTTGTCGAAAACCAGTGCACAATCGCCGCGGAGTGGCCACCATGATGTCTGATGGGCCTGCACACAGCAGGCAATATGCCACCCCCCCCACCCACCGTCTCTGTCCAAAAAGAAAGTAAAGTGACCGCGAGATGCCCGCGCATGATCCAGATTTAGCCGCGAAGTGCAGTTTTCATTCTCTTCTGGCAGGGACGGTGGCCCTGCGCACAGCAGGCCAAATGCTGGCACCCCCGCCGTCCCTGCTCACCCACCAAAAAATGCTCGTGGTAAGGGGCGTATATAAGAAGCAGTGATGCACCCCTCCCCGAAGGGGAAGAAGAGGGTTGGAGGAGGGAACGCCCTCAACCACTCACGCCCTTGAGGGCTGGTGGGATTGAAGTCGTACCAGTTACCTTGGCGCCTCGGTTGCAAGACTGATGGGATGCGTGATCGGTGTCACGTATACCGTATACGTGTTCTGGTGCAGCGAGCCTTTGCACAACAACAATGCTATAAGCGCACGTTTCTCCTGCTGCACTTGCTATGCACAGCATGCACACTGTTGCTCGATAAATCCAACAGGAGCGACTCGTCGGAGACCTCATTCTGACAAACGGCACGGACATTCTCAACGTTGAGTTGAGGCGTCCGGTGATTTGATTGGGGCAGTTGAGAGACATAGGCGCAGCCAGCGAGGAGGAGTGGTCGATGCAGCTGCGGTCGACGACGCGGATACGTGCGGATGTAGATGCGGATAAGTTCGGGCGGGGCTAGGACGAGAATAAGTCCGCTCTCAAAGCGTTCCGGAACGTTCTGAGAAGGCCGCGGCGCCCGAGGCATTTTCCAGAGCCGCCAGATCTCAGAGATTATCGATTGATCTTCACCCGATGTTTATCCTCGTCCTTGCTGGCTTCGTCTTCTGATTCGTTCCGAGGACCCTCGGGGCGTTCCGGGGCGCTCTTGAGGCTTGGGCGTTGCCGAGGGTGCATTGTACGGCCCAGTGCGGCCCCGGCCTCTCAAGGGAGGCTCAGGTGGTATCCCGAGTTTCCGCTTCCCTCACGGGTTGGCCTCGGAGAGGACGTGTCAGACTTAGGGGAAGGAAGAGTGACATAAGCATAAAAAGCTCGGAGGCCCGCGCGGATTCTCGGATCGGCGCTTGACCCCCCTGGCGGCGCCGCCGGCGCCGCCCCTGGCGCGCTCCGCGCGCCAAAAGACTGGGGGTCCAGCGCCGATCCCCGAAGTCCGATGCCCCTGAGACTGGCTCCGCTGGTGGCCTTGGCATCGCTCGGACGTGTGCGTTTTTCCTTCGGCGAGGACAATCGAGGAGCATCCTCGATCATTCGGCGAAAAAACCACGCACGAAGCCGATAAAGCACAGGGAATGGACGTCCGAGCGATGGCGAGTGGCGCCGGTGGCAGAGCGTCGGGACGCCCTTCTCGGGAGGCCGGCCAGGGGACACGAGCGGCATCCGGCGGGAGCTGACAGGGCCTGCGCAGACAGCAGATGGCCTTACAGTCGGGGCGCTGAAGAAGGAACCCTTTTCATTGGGGAGGGGCTCCGTTTTCCTTAATTGTTTCGCAGCTTGTCTTAGGTTTTCCTTAGGTATTCGATCTGAAATCGGAGCTTAACTTATGGAAAATAGGGGCCTCGTTCCTTATTTAGGGTTCCTTAGGTCAACGCCCCGACTGTACGGGGGAAAGGAAAAGCTCACGGGTTTCCAGGGAGGCTCAGGTCGGCTCGAGAGCACCCGTCACGAGCCCCAGAGGTTGGCGGCGCGCAGAGGTTGGGTAGGGGGGGGAAGGCTTCTCAGAAGGAGGCTGCTTCTTGGAAGGCGCCAGCCCTAGATCTACAGATGAGGCCCGCGCCTTCTAAGAAGCAGCCTCCTTCTGAGAAGCCTTCCCCCTCCCCCTACTCCCCTCTGCGCGTGGCCGAAGACGGCCTCAGGGGATCCAGATCGGGGCAAAGTTCTTCGTTGCATGCTCAGCTACCCCAAAGTGCTGATCTGTGAAGCGCGCGGCCCTTCGGGATGGCAGCGACTGAAGCTGAGACTCGGGTGTCCGGACAGGGAGTCCATGAGCGGCTCATGTGGCAGCCCGTCTGGTGCCTTCCACACGCGGTGGTAAACTTAGGCATGCCATATCAGCGCGGTTTTCGTGCTAACCTGTGTAGCGCTGGAGGTAACCTGCACCCAGACAGCAGCGCTGGGGTCTCGCCTCTCGGCCCCTCGGCGCAAGTCGAGGGAGGCCCGCACAATCTAGTGGTGGGAGTGCACCAGGGCCGGTACCAGCCCACCTGCACAGAGTGCGCCAGGCACTGTGTCATCCCGGCGCCGTGAGGAAACCCAGACACAGGAATCTGCTGATGTGACTCGCGGGATCCATAATTACGAGCAAGCCCTCCGGAAGGTACATGATAGTACTGAAGGTCGCGAAACCCAGACGGAGGAGCTTGCGAGTGTGGCTCGCGGAATCCTTACGAGCAAGCCTTCGGAGAGTGCAGGATAGTGCTTAAGGTCGTTGGGCGGTACACTTTCGCTGTGCTGGAGGGGTGGTCTACAGAGGCCTTCTCGCCCCCGCTCAAGGGCACCCCGGGCGGGGACCGCGTGCGGCCGCATCCGACATGCTGCAGCTGGCGCGAAGGTTCCCAGCTTGGAAGCTGCACGGTACCCTGGTGCTCTTTGGGCTCTCCACCTGGGAGTGTTCTCTGGTTTGGGTACCTCCGTGCTCCTGTGCGTGACCCACGTTCTTGCGGCCATGTTTCAACCGTACGTCCTCTGGGCCCTCTGGCTCCCAGAGATCCTCGAGTCGCCCGCCAGGTTTCCTTTCGTCACGGCCGATCCGATTCGATATCGGTTCTGGCCAGCCAGACCCGGTGCGACGCCCATGTTCTGGCGATGAGATGCATCCCGATGTTGACATGGCATCGTTGTGCATCTTGGCGCGGCCGATCCGATGCGAGTTTGATTCCGTGTCGACGCAGCGCCCGATCCAACGCACGTTCCGATCCGAACCGATTCGCCAGTTCGATGTTGACCGATGTTGCCCGCGCCCGATGTTGTTTACGCCCTGTTCTTACCTCGGGTGTTACCAGAAGTGCCCCTGGCCCAAGGTGTCCCCAGGAGTTTCAGGGAGGCCCCTGCGGCCTCCCGAGTACCCCCCATTGCGAGGCCCAGAGGGCCCCAGAAGCTTCACAGCGGCACGAAAAAATGGGGACGCCTTGCGCCAGGAACACCAAACCTGCGACCGAGGCTCCAGGGCGACGACGATCACCGCCACGGCTCAGAACTTCGACTTTGCTATGTGTTTCGCAACACCGACCCCCAGAATTTTGGACTGTTCCCCAGGACCAGTTTTTCAACCCAGGTCGTTCCTGTTGACGGCCCCGAAGCCCGGCGAGGGCCCCCAGCCCAGGCCGAAAGAGGCCCCCCCCTGATAGTCCCGACTGGCCTCAACAGTCCCTCGACTGGTCCCAGCAACGTCTCAACACCCCGACCCCCGACCTTGAGCGCCCTGGGGGCACCGCCTGAGGCGGCGCCCCTAGGGTGTTGAGATCGCCCTGGACTGTCCAGGGGGCTTGCTGAGGCCAGCAGCAGCAGGGACTACCTGGGATGGGCGCTGTCTGCGAGCAGCCCGAAGCCTCACCACGTCTCAGTGCTCAGCATGGGTCGCCCTCCCCCTTTTGCGCTGCGCCTACGCCGTCCTCTACACTGCCTCGCCTCTGCTGCACAACCGAGCCACTGCCGACGCACAAGCTAAGTGGGCAAAAGGGAGGCCGAATGTATAGTTAAGAAGGATGGAAGGAAGGAAGGAAGGAAGGAAGGAAGGAAGGAAGGAAGGAAGGCAGGAAGGAAGGAAGGACGGACGGACGGACGGAAGGAAGTGGGGAACCAACCGGCCCTCCCCGTCGTCTTCTGGCTCGGCAGGTTCCCGAACAAGTCCTTCTCGATCACCGCAGCGGGCTGGGCGAGGTGCCACGTCGGCCACGAGCTCGACCGCACGCGCATGCAGGCGGCCCCCCTCGTGGGGCGCGGCGGGTAGGGGAGGATAGGAGGCCAAAGACGAGGAGGAAGGATACGAGGCCCAAGACGAGGAGGAGGAGGAGGAGGAGGAGGAGGAGGAGGTCCAAGACGAAGCCCAAGACGAGGAGGAGGAGGAGGAGGAGGCGGAGGAGGAGGAGGAGGAGGCGGAGGAGGTGGGGAGGGACGGGGGAGGAAGAAGAGGAGACTGGAGGGAGGAGAGTGGAGGCGTAGGAGGGACGAGGAGGGAAGAGGAGGGGGGAGGAAAAGACAGGGGGGAAGGAGAGGAGGAGGAGGAGGAGGAGGCGGAGGCGGAGGCGGAGGCGGAGGCGGAGGCGGAGGAGGAGGAGGAGGAGGAGGAGGAGGAGGGTGATGATTACAATGGGGGACGAGAAAGAGGTGGAGGGAAGTTGAAGACAGAGGAGGACAAGTTAGGTGCGCTCGCGCCATATCGGACATCATGTTCATCCCTCTCTCCCATCCCCTCCCGTTGAGCTGATATTTTCTCTGTCCGCGGACGCGTGTCATAGCCGACTTCAAACTCCAAACAAGATCCCATCGTGTTATGCGCAATCGGAAAAGGGAAGCTGCGTACATAGGAGGAGGAGGTGGAGGAGGAGGAGGAGGAGGAGGAGGAGAAGGAGGACGAGGAGGACGAGGAGGTGGCGGGTGAGCAGGAGGAAAAGGAGGAGGAGGGGGAAGGAGGAGGACGAATAGCAGCAGCAGGAATTGGAGTGGTAAGAACAAGAGGACCGGTGACGACGGCGAAACGGAACGCGGACCCAGGAGAGCGGCCCGCGCTGGGGCGGGTGCGCCATTCGGAACGACGGGGGCGCAGCACGGCGCCGATCCCGAGATGAGGCCCGCGCTGCAGCGGGAGCACCATTTTCTTGGCATCGCTTGGACGTGTGCATTTTTCCTTCGGCGAGGACCATCGAGGAGCATCCTTGATCATTTGGCGAAAAAAACACGCACGAAACCGAAAAAAAAACACAGGGAATGGACGTCCGAGCGATGGCGAGACAATCAGTTTGCAAGAGCACATGAGCGACGCAGAGAACGGCTTCGTTGGCGCCGACGTTGGCGCGTAAGCTGCCCGCGCAAGGTTGCGCGTAAGCACCCTCGCTTCAGATGTGGCGTGCCGCGCGGGCGGCCCGTGTAAGCCACCGCGTGAGGTCGCTATGTCATCTCGCGTAAGACCAGTTTTAGGATCGTCGCTCGCATGAAAAAGCACTCGGCACAACCCTGCGTGAAAAAACAGGACGCGGAGGGGAGCCCAGGATCTTCCAGACAGGGTCAGGGGAAAGAGAGGGGAATAGTATTATGAGGAGAAGGGAGACAGAAGAGGAGGAAGGGGGGGGGGAGGAAGGAGGAACGGGGGAAGGAAGGGGAGAGGGAGGGGGAGGGGGGGAGGAAGCGAGCTGGAGGAGGGAGGGACGGGCCGGGGAAGGGCAGGAGGCGGGCCCGAGGGCCCAGGGGCCCCAGAGGTGGACGTCGAGATCGGCGTGCAGCTCCCGAGGGTGCCTGGCTTGACGGCCGTGATGGACTACTTCATCAAGACCGCCCGCGACAGCAGGACGACGAGATCTGTTCATGGCCACGGCTCCAGGCCTGGCCCATCCTTGGCCCAGGAGCGGTGGGCCAGCCCTGGGGCAGTGGATATGTACAGATCTCGTCGCCAAGAGGGACCTTTCGCTGGAGTGACCTTGGGTGCTCCTCCTCCTCCTCCTCCTCCTCCTCCTCCTCCTCCTCCTCCTGTTCCTCCTCCTCCTCCTCCTCCTGTTCCTGTTCCTCCTCCTCGTTCGCCTCCTGCTCCTCCTCTCCTCCTCCTCCTCCTCCTCCTCCTCCTCCTCCTCCTCCTCCTCCTCTCGTTCGCCTCCTGCTCCTCCTCCTCCTCCTCCTCCTCCTCCTCCTCCTCCTCCTCCTCCTCTTCCGCCTCCGTTTCCTCCTTCGCCGGAGTGATCTTGGTGAGGGCCCAACGGGGTCCCCCGACCGCCGAGCGCGAAGCGGTGGCAGCGGCTTGCGCGCCCAGGTTTGGCCGTCCCGCGTCCCCTCTTGCCTGGGGGGTCGCTCTTCCGTGTAGCCGAGGAGAGGTGATAGAACATGGGGGGCTTACGACATCTGCTGCATGTAGCTGGCTTCGGCCCCGCCGCCAGGCGCTTTCCTCGATGCATTGGCGCCGGCGCCAGGGAAATCAGCTAAGTGAGTTGAGTTGTATACCCCCCCCTCTGATAACCCCGCCTTTCGTCCGACCCAGTGGGGGAACGATGGCGACGCCCGACGACGACGCCCGACGACGACGACGACGACGACGACGACGACGACGACGACGACGACGACGACGACGACGACGACGACGACGACGGCGACGGCGACGGCGACGGCGACGGCGACGGCGACGGCGACGGCGACGGCGACGGCGACGGCGACGTCGGCGGCGGCGACGACGGCGACGAGGACGACGCCCAGACCTCAAACGCAGTTTCTGCCGCTGCTCCGTCGTGAGAGAGGGGAGTGGAGGGGGGTCCTGGAGACATGCGAGGAGGCCAGCGGGGAGGCGCGCAGGAAAATAACGCAGTACAGTGTATCAATATGTTTGGCTCCGAGGCTGTACGGCTTCAGATCGCACCGAGAAAAACGGTTCAAAGTTGCTCCAAGAGCGCCCCCGATGGTTCCAAGAGTGCCCGAGAATTTTCCCAGACTGCATAGGCGGGCTCCAAGACGGCTTACTACCCGCGCAAACATTCCCAACATGGTGCAGTCGAGCCTCTTCGCGAGAGCTAGGCGGAACCATTGCGCACAAGAGGTTCCGAAGATGTTACCAAGATTCCTTCAAGAGTGGGTAGCACATTGCTCCTTTGTTCGCCTTCCTTATCTTCCGCCTCCTTCATTATTCAAGACGCTTCGCGTTCACCACCCGCCCATTCCAGTTCTCGCCGGAAGAGGCGCAGACAGCGCCAAGACGGGATGGCAATACTCCGAAAGTGGTGAAATATTCCCCCACAAGGGTGTTTTGTACTGCTTCCTGCGCTCCATTTCTCCATCCCATCGCCGATTGGGTTCAGGTATGCCGTGCCGATATCGAATTTGTCGATGAGTCGTCGGCCAGCCATCATTACTACCAACGGATCAGTGGTAGGAGCGCTGGCTCTCTCGACCCCTGCTCCCGATCCACGGCAGGAGGCCAGAGCCAGAACACTGCCCGAGACCAGCCAAGGACCGTCCGAGAACGGCCCAAGAGGCGCCCACAGGGGCCGAAGATGGCCCCGAGGAGGACCCGGTGCCGAGGGCGCGGCGTTTGAACAAATTGCGACGAAGTCCCATGCGAGAGCGCGATACCTGCAGAAATTGTGATGACGTCCTGCGCGAGAGCGCGACTACTGAATAAGCTCTGAGGAAGTATCAGGCGGGAGCCGTTTTTCCGGTGTTGCCGTAGAAGGGTGTGCCAGGGGCACAGTTTGAGCATGAAGGTTTTCCTTGGTAAAAGCAGGGTGCGAGCAACGAGGGGTCAGAGGAAACATCAAATGCGTACCTGTGGGGGGATCAAGAACAATTGTTCTTCAGGAATGCGAGTTCAAACATGAACAACACAACACATTGAAACCCAAACCAGACAGACCAGTGCATCAAGCCGAGTCCGAGTGCCGACGTCATGCACCAGAGCACGAGGAGGAGGAGGAGGACGAGGAGGAGGAGGAGGAGGAGGAGCAGCAGCAGCAGCAGGAGCAGCAGTCGGAGGAGGAGGAGGCGTGCGGCGGAGAGGACGTACGCGAACCAGTCCGCCCAGGACCCGCGGCGCGGCCCACCCCCCTCCCGCCCGCCACTCCGCGCGCTGCGGCGCCCTTCTCTCTTTTCGCCGCGGCCAGCATCCCAGGCCTCCTCGCCCTCCTCTTCGAGGGGGGACCGACTACAGAATTGATTTACCCCAGGATCGATTCTCCGTCGAGTCTGCGGACGAATGCGTAGAGTGTTCTACGGAGCGTTCTACGTATATTTGTTCGTAGACTCGGCCAACAAGTCAAGTTTGAGGCCAATTCTGTAGTCGATCCACCACTCGATCCTTCGGAGCCCCGGGTGATCAGGGCCTGCCTCGCCCCTGGCCGCGGTCTCCCGTGGAGAATCGAGGAAGAAGTAAAAGATAATCGAGAATAGAGGAAGAAGAGCGGAGAATCGAGGAGAATCGAGGATCGAGAATGCTACCACTGCTGGTGAGTCGAGGGGGAAGATGTGGCATGCGCATGAGCTTTCGGAGGTCCGCGCGGGTTTCCTGGGCCGGCGCTGGCCTCGGGCGCCGCCCCCGGCGCTCGCGCGCCAGCGGGTCGGGCTCCAGTGCCGACCCAGGGAAACCGCGCGGACCTGCGACAGTTGGAGGCGCGGCTCGATCGGGGCCCCGAGTGATCTGGGTCGAGGGGCGGTCAGGGACTATCTCCTGATTCGGGCTTGCCGTTTTCGGGCCGGAGTGGCCCTGGATTGAATTGAGCCCGAGTGTTCCCAGAGCACACTCTGCCCCCATTCTGCAAGAGGAGAAATTCTGGATCGAGCGGTTACAGGGTTTTCCCTGATCGCATTTGGGGGCGTGAGACAGGGCTTTGCCCTGTCCAGGTCTATCTGAGATGAACGTAATTTTCGATTCGCAAGTTTCCCCCGCGATAAGGAAGTTCGGCCTGTCGCCTCTCTTCCCCGCCCAATTCCTGTGTGGCCAGTGATAATCAGTTCTCAGGGGCGACGGGGAGGATATGATTTAGTATCTGCGGTGCTCGGTTTTTCCAGGTGCCCAAGTCCTCGTCCATCGCCCTTCTCGGGAGCCTGCGGGAGAGCCGAAGTGGCCCAGCACTGGCTCCGGCCACCAGGCACGGGGGAGAGAGGAGCCCCCTCGTCGCCGCGGCCCCGGGAGGGCCCCCCCTCCCCTCTCTCCAATCCCTGCCTCCCCCCGCCCAGTACAGCGCTTCGTGGCCCCAGAGGGAGCTCCACCGAAGGTCACAGTGGCGCAGTCCGCATGCGATTCCCGCGCCCAGTACAGCGTTTCGTGGTCCGCGCCAGGTGCGCCACGTCCGGGGCACGCGCAGAGTGTGTCAGCTGCGCTTGCGCACGTGCCAGCACATTTCGGGAATCATGTCGGCCCCCACCATCCCTGTCGAAAACCAATGCCCATAATGGTGTCTGGTGGGCCTGCGCACAGCAGGCCATCCGCCACCACCCCCGCCGTCCCTGTCAAAAACCACTTGACAGTGATCGCGGGATGGCCGCGCACTATCCACATTTAGCCGCGAGGTGCATTTTGTATTGTGTTTGTCAGGGATGGTAGCCCTGCGCGCAGCAGGCAATATGCTGACACCCCCGCCGCTACAAAGTGCCCGCGGGCCTCACGAACATGACTCCGGACTTTGCCCAAAAATGTATCTATTGTTTTTTGACAGGGATGGTGGGGGGGGCCGCATCGGGTTGGTTGCGCATGCTCCGAATTTGGAAGTAGAGTGCGTTTTGTATTATTTGTTGACAGGGATGTTGGGGGGGAGGGGCCTCATGGTGTGCGCATGGTTCTGGGTTGGTTGCCGGCCGGGTGGGGGAGGGGGTGTTCATTAATACGGAACAGTGATCAAGCTACCCACCCGCCCGCAAGCCGTCTAACTCACTCCCACCCGCTTTCCCTACCCATGAGTAACACCCGAGCCTCAGCATGTTCAGCGGTCGTCTTTGGATGGGCAGCTACTGGGAAACAAAGCCGACCCCAGGTGCGCGACGCTGAGGCGAGGTGCGCCACGCGTGCCAGGGGCGCCACGCGCGACAGGCACCCCTGGGGCCCGAGCGTGCCAGGAACGCCTGGTGCGCCAGATGCGCCACGTGCTCCGACAGCGCCAGGTGTGCCGCACTCTCCAGCCGCGCCAGATGCGCCGCGTTCGGGGCACGTGCAGAGTTCGTCAGGTGCGCCTGCGCAGTTGCCAGCACACGCCGGAAACATGTCGGCCCCCGCCATCTTTGTCGAAAACCAATGCCCATTGATGTGTCTGGCGGGTCTGCGCACAGCAGGCCACGCGCCACCACCCCCGCCGTCCCTGTCAAAAACCACTTGACAGTGATCGCGGGATGGCCGCGCACGATCCAGATTTAGTCGCGAGGTGCATGTTGTGGTAGCCTTGCGCACAGCAGGGAATATGCTGACACCCCCGCCGTCCTTGTCAAAAACCATACAAAGTGCTCGCGGGCCTCACGAACATGATTCAAGAATTTGCCCCAAAGTGCATTTTGCATTGATTTTTGACAGGGATGGTCCAGAGGGGGGGGGCGCATCGGGTTGGCCGCGCATGCTCCAAATGTAGAGGCAGAGTGCGGTTTGTATTGTTTTGTTGACAGGGATGGTGGGGGGTGGGTCGGCATGGTGTCGGCATGATGCCTGGTTGGCCCCCGGTCGCCTCGGGGAGGGGGTGCGTATGAATAAGGAACAGTGATTAAACCCCTCCCCGAAGGGGAAGAACGGGGTTGGAAGGGGAGCTTCCCTAGACCACCTGCGCCCGGAGGGCTGGTGGGATTTTCGGATGTCGGCGCTGGACCCCTCTCCCTGGTGCGCGGAGCGCGCCAGGGCGGCGCCAGCGACGCCCGGGGGCCCAGCGCCGATCCAAGGAATCCGCACGGACCTCTGGAAGTGTATGTTGAGCTTCTGCTTCTTCGACCTTGGGCGCGTTGCCGACGACACCCCTTTGGCCTCCCTCGGCCCCTGCGCCCGGGAGGACTGCGTCAACGCACTGGCGACGGGCGCCGAGGAGATCGCGGCGCGCGATGCCCCCTGACGGCCAGCCAGAGCACGGCGGCCTCGGGCCCGTACCTTCACTCCGGCGGTGAGCCCGGGGGCGGGGGGTACTTTACCAGCCTGGAACATATCCCTATCCCCATGCTGGGCACCTCCTCATCACGATGCCAATCTGAGGGATTCCCTTATTTTTGAGTGCGAATCCCTAAGATTGTCATCGCCTTTTGGCGTGTCAATCTTAGGGGTAGGGATACGTTCGAGGCTGGTAAGTACCGGGTTTCACCTCGGCTCTTCCGATTTGGCTTTGACTTCGACAGATTCGGATTCGATTTCGAAATCCGATCTGGATTCCGATGTCTCAGGGGAGGCCTCACTGGCCTGCCGATGTCCGCCGAGTCGACTTCTCCCGACTCGGCTGCCGATTTTCTCGCCGATGCGACGTACGTCCGACTCATCGATGCGATCCCGGGCCCTCCCGGAGAAGGTGCGTCAGATCGATTTGGATCTGAAAAGGGCGCAGAAAGATACATGGGCTCCAGGGCTCCGGCTGTCGTGTTGTTCGCACGACGCTGCAATTTTCCCGCGGCGTCGGGCTTCAGGATCTCAGAAGGCGGCGGGGCTTCTCAGAAGCCGCGCCTTCTGTGAAGCCTTGCAAGCCCTCTCCGAAGCCACAGTCGGCTTCTCAGAAGGTACTTCTCGGAAGCCTCGACGCCTTCTGAGAGGGTTTGCCCCCTCTCACTTCCCTCTGGGCTCGCCCCCGAACAATACCCCCGCCTGTGGTGCTGGCGATTGGCGCCGGCGATATTTTAAGGAAGCGCGGCGGGCTCGTGCCGTTCTGGCGTTGAGCGACAGCGCCGCCACGGGCGCTCTGAAAAGGTCAAGCACGGCTTGAGCCCTCCCTGGTTGCGGAGATCGTTCATACTGGAGCAGTTCGGCGTCGTCCAAGAGGGGGGAGAGAACTCCAAGGATTCTGTTTCGGGGGCATACACTTTCTTGTCGTTGGTTCTTGGACGTTTTCTCGCCTCGGGATGCTTTCCAGCTGCGCCCCGTCGAGGAGTTCCGAGGGTGGTGGGGACTGGGGACTAAGAGGGTATCATGGCAGGGGCCACCCCATCCTTAAAAGACGGTCTGTGGTCCCCTCCGTCCGCGCCCGTGACTCTGGCCATGTTGAGCTCCCCCCCTCTTTCTGGCTTACCTCTTCGGCGCACCGCGACAGTTCGCGTGGCGGCAGAAGCCAGAGTCCACGCGGTTACGGCAGGAGCCCGCCGCCAGGATAATTAGCTAGACCCTGCGTTGGGCAGGGCAGCGCCCATGCTGGCGATTTGCGCCAGCGACGATGTCGAGTGGAATTTAAGGTTGCCGGCTGACCTCGTTCTCTTCCGTACAGGGGCTCGGTCTGCAGCACGATTGTCTCTCACGGTCGCCGACCAGCCACGGTGCAGGGTCGCAGCGCAGCGCTCGTTCTGGAGCGGAGGAGACGGAGGGAGGAGGCCGGGACCCCGTCCAAGAGCCAGAGGTCGTCTCAGGCCCAGGATGGTTGCAAACGCAGAAATAGAGAATGCGTCCCGGTAGTGTCCGCTTCCCCGAAGTTCGATACAGTGATTTCGGCGGGTTGGTTTTGACAAGCGAAATGTCAAGGACATTTTTACGCACTCTACGCAAAACCAAGTGACAACCGAAGGAACTTCTTTATCATTTCAAGGAAATCCTAGAAGACGTAAAATTCCCAAGGAAAGCCCTCAGTGAAGAAACTTGGGGAAGATTGAAAGAAGACTTGCCTAGCCTGCATGAAGGGCGCTACACTGGGGCAGTGCCTCCCGACACGCCGACCCCGGGAGGACATCTTTAACGCCAAGATCTCGACAATTTCGGCCCCTCCCGCCACCGTTTCTGAGATCGTGGGCCAGAGACCTCCTGGGCCTCTAGGAAGCCGGCTTGAGGGTTGCTAGCCAGGGCTGACCCCCATCTAGCAACCCCCACAACATGTTGCGAGTCTGGGGCTCCCCGAGCACAGGGTGTCCCCCGCTGGCAGCTCCTGTCTTTCCTGTTCCACCGAGGAACCGTTCATATGGCGGCCCGCCCGCAGGCCCAGAAGAAAGGTCAGTGGTCTTTGGGACTCTCTTGGGGGCCCGGAGACATCCTGGGGGCCTCCTGGAGGCTTCTCGCGCGCCTCCCGGGGGGCCCTCCGGCGGTCCCTGGGGGGCCTCTTGGGGGGCGGCAGGTCCCAGAGACACCCCTTCGAGCTCCCATTCGTGAGGGCCTTCGGGGGCCCCCTCGGGGGCCTGGGGCCGCCCAGGGCTCTGAGCCAATCCTGCCCGATCTCTCGGCCTCCCAGATTGGATCGGAGGAGGAGGAGGAGGAGGCGGAGGAGGAGTTGGAGGAGAAAGAGGAGGAGGAGGAGGAGGAGGAGGAGGAGGAGGAGGCGGAGGAGGAGGAGAGGAGGAGGAGGAGGTAGAGAGGAGGAGGAGAGGAGGAGGAGGAGGAGGAGGAGGAGGGAGGAGGGAGGAGGGAGGAGGAGGGAGGAGGGAGGAGGGGGGAGGGGGGAGGGAGGAGGGAGGAGGAGGAGGAGGAAGAGAGGAAGAGGAGGAGGAGGTAGGAGGAGGAGGAGGAGGAGGGAGGAGGAGGAGGAGGAGGAGGAGGAGGCAGGAGCAGGAGGAGGAGGAGGAGCCCCGAAAGAGGAGGAGGAGGAGGAGGAGGAGGAGGAGGAGAAGAAGGAGGCCTGGGAGCGTCCTCGCGCTGCCCCACGCTCTGCCTGCCGCCAGCTTTGCGTGCCTCGAGCTTGTGCTGCCCGCCAGTTCCCGGGACGCCCGCGCTCGGCGTGGGCCCGATTTTCGCCACAGCCGCGAGACGCGTGGGGGCCGAGCCCTGCCCGGGCCCCCTATAGGCGCCGCTCGACCGCGAGCCGTTTTTTCCTCCCTCTGCGGAGTGCGCCCTGGTGCCCTCCACGCCGATCGGCGACCGGCGATCCGCGATCGACGACAGACGCCCGACGACGACGACGACGACGACGACGACAGACGCCCCACGACGACGACGACGACGACGACGACGACGACGACGAACACGACGAACACGACGAACACGACGATGACGACGACGACGACGCCGCCGACGACGACTATCCGACCACCGACAACCGACGACCGTCAACGACGACGACGATGACGACGGACGGCTGACGACCGACGAGGACGACAACGACGACGACGCGACCGACCGACCGACCGACCGATGACCGACGTCTGACCGACAAACGACGACTACGACGAACGACGTCGACGACGACCACGACCACTTCCACGACCACGACCACGACCACGACCACGACCACGACGACGAACGACGACGACGACGACGACGACGACGACGACGACGACGACGACCACGACGACGACGACGACGACGACGACCACGACCACGACCACGACCACGACGGCGACGACGACCACGACCACGACCACGACTACGACCACGACCACGACCACGACCACGACGACGACCACGACCACGACCACGACCACGACCACGACGAGGACGACCACGACCACGACCACGACCACGACGACGACGGGGCGAACGATCTTTGCGGGTTTTGCACAAACAGCCCCCCAGGTGGTTCGGCTGGCGTCAACGGGCCCGCCGAGTAGTCTGGGGCGGTATCAACACGTGCTCGCGTCGGGGAAAATATCGCGACGGACGGTGTTCTGCTGCTGTCGGTCTCCGGGGGTTCTCGCCGGGCCTCGGGACCGTCAGAAATGAGCCGGGATGACAGACCTTCAGGAGGAAAAGAAACACACAGACACAATTAATCTTCGATTTCCCCCGGAAATATGGGAAACTATGGGAAGTGGGGGGAAGACAAAAACCGAGAAAATATGAGGAATCTTTTTATTTGTGTGTATGTATTTGTGTGTCCTGGGGCCCTTCAAACCTACCCAAGGGGAAGGGTCGGGACTTCCAGGGGCCGCATTTGCATTGAAACAGTCGACACGCCGCATGTCTGAGCACTTCCTCTGTTGGTGAGGCTGCGGGTTGCGCACAGGCAGCCATCCCAGGTGGTCGGGGCTGGCCTCAGCGGGCCCCCCGAGTGGTCCGGGGCGGTCTCAACACCTCGGCGCCGCTTCGGGGAGCGCTCCGCGCCCCAAGGTTGAGGTGTTGAGAGCGCACCGGGCCAGTCGGGGGGCCCTGCTGAGGCTTGTCAGGACCACCTGGGTGAGGGGCCGCCAGGGCGCAGCCCGAAGCTTCTTGCCCGTCCTCCTGCACCTCTTTCTCTCTAGGCCTCCCAGATGGGGTCGGAGTAGATGGGGTCGGAGGATCGAGCCGCATCGCCGATGCATCGGCGATGCGGCTCGAGGTGGAGCCAGTGTTTCCCCACGCCGACGTCGCCGATGCATCGCCCACGTCGCCGATGCATCGGCGATGCGGCGCGATCCTTCGACCCCATCTACCCCGACCCCATCGAGGAAGCCTCTGTTCTCTGCTCGCGTCGGGCGGGCCCGGGGAGGATGCTGGGAGGAGAGGGGCGCGGAGTCTGCGGCGAGCCGGCCTCGGCTCCGCCGCCGGGCGCGTCTTCCTCGGCACGCGGGCGCCTCGAGGCGCCGGGAGGGTCAGCTGCGTGAGCTGGTCGGGGGCCTCGGATGCTGCAAAGCCCGACTGACCCGACTGGCGGCGGCGGCGGCGGCGGCGGCGGCGGCGGACCCGGGTCAGTACAGTGCCGTTTTTAATACATGCTCCGCGTGCGGATCATGTCTTAAAAGTGCAGGGATTTAGTATTAAAACAACGATGAGTTTATGCATAAATTGGTTCATAAATGAATCATGTATTAAACATCCTATATTTTAAAAATCCTATGTATTAAAAATTGCCCTGTAGATCCCCCGACAGGTGCGTGAGCTGAGTCGCAGGCACCCCCTCGGCGGACCCGCCGTTTCGTCCGATCCGATCTTCCTGGGGAGGGAGGGATCGAGGAAGGTCCAGGGGCCCCGAGGGTGCTCCCCATCCTCGTGCGCCTCATCCCCCGTCCCTCCTCCGCCTCTTCTTCCACCTCCTCCCCTCCACTCCCCCGTCCTCCTCCGTCTGGGCACTTGGCACTAACCGCAATGGTACCTCACTGATCGGCGCTGCCATCCATCCTCCCCCGTCGACTCCCCATCATCCGCCCCCTCGCTCTCCATCTCCGTCCATCTCTCTGCCCACCCCCATCCCCCTTCACACGTCTGTTCTCAGTCCCCTCTCTCTCTCTCTCTCTCTCTCTTCCTCCCTGGCTGTTCGCATCGGTTTGGAGCACCCTGCTCCGCAGCTTGCTCGTAAGCGGCATTGTTAGTTTGAGCCCGTACGCAAGCGCTGTTTCAATAGACCCGATCCCGTATTTTTAATGGCTGCCGCACGCACCCAGTCGTACCCTCAGCGGCGCGCCGCCGGAGGGAAGGGAGAGGGGGGGTAGGCCGTCCCAGAAGGCGGCGGGGCTTCTCAGAAGCCCCCTGACCTTCTGAGAGGCCGCCTGCGGCTGCAGACAAGGACTCGGGAGGCCTCTCGAGAGGCCAGAGGCCTTCCGGGACTGCCGAGATGGTTCCGCCCCCCTCTGCCTGTTCCCCGGGGCCCGCCGCCGGTCAGTAGTGTTGCCGCATGCACCCATTTGTACACGTCCAGTTGCCAGGTTCCGGTTTCGCAGCGAAGTGATTCGCGCTTTGCGTATCCCCACCAGCTTTTGCTCCTGCGCGCTCAGTACCTAATTTAGATCGTGGCGCTGTTGCTTCGCTTCTTGACGGCGCGCGGTTGCTCCGTGTCGCTCGCGAACGAAAAATATCCCATGAGAGCTGACGGCGGGAAATGGGATTGAGAGACACATATAGTGAAGCAAAACGGGCAACCATGGAGAGTTGAGAATTCGGAGGATATGACCAGGACAAGTTGTTGTTGCTACTGGTGTTGTTGCTGTTATTGCTGCTAGTGCTGCTGCTGCTGGTCCTGCTGGTGATGCTGGTGCTGGTGTGCGTGGTGGTGCTGCTGGTGCTGGTGCTGTTTCTGCTGCTTTTCTTGCTGCTGCTGCTGCTGCTGGTGGTGGTGCTGCTGCTGCTGCTGCTGCTGATGCCGCTGCTGATGATGCTGGTTCTGCCGCTGCTGGCATGATGCCTGTGCTGTTGTTTGTCCCTCCTCCTCTTCCTCCTCCTCTTCTCTTCTTTCTCTACCTTATTGTGTTGCTGATGCTGCAGCTGGTGCTGTTGCTGCTGCTGGTATTAGTGCTGCTGGTGCCGCTGCTGGTGCTGCTACTGCTGCTGCGGGTACCGTTGCTGGTGCTGCTGAAGCAGTTGGTGCTCTTGCTGGTGTTGCTGCCGGTGCTCTCGGGAGCCCTGGAAGGCCTCTTGGGGCCATTTGGTAGAGCAGGGGTCAAAGGAGGGGGTTTTTGGTTTCGCCTCACCCTCAGGAGGCTTTAAGATCGCCCTCTTGCACATTGCAGCTTCTCACGGATACTGCGTGTTTTACGGCAGCTTCTTGCGTGCCAGAGACTCAGCCACGCCCCACTCCGTCAGAACAAAAATCATAGATTGGGGATTTTTGGGGGAGTCTTGGGGTCATCTTGCACTCTTTGGGCGCCTCGGGGGCCTCAAATTCGCCTTTGGGGGCAGTCTTGGGGCACTCTTCGAGCGTTCTTGCGCGATCTCGCGTCTGGGGCTTCCTTGGCCCTCGTGCAGCCCTCTTGGGCCATGCTGGGGCCATATTGAGGCCTCAAAAGCGCATCGGGTGTGAAAAGGCGAGAAGGTACAAATCATTGATGCCCCTCAGGTTTTTGAAGGATTTCGGCCTCTTGGAGCAGGAGGCCTTGAGGGGCTCCAAGAACACGCATAGCCGTCTTGGAGCGGTCTTTGAGGTCTCTTAGAACATGTTGGAAACCATCTTGAGCCATCTTCGGCTGTCTTGAGAATTGTGGGCCATCTTGGAGCATCGGACGTCCTCTTGGAGCTATCATGGGCGTCCTGACCGCTCGCGACCCTCCCAAAAACAACTCAGGGAGGAGAGGGGGAGGGTATCCCTCCCCGAAGGAAAGAGGGGGTTGGGAAAGGACAAGAAAAAAATCGTTAGACCATATTCGCCCGGAGGGCTGGTGGAATTGCAGCGGCCAATCTACATCAGGGTCCCCGCTTGAGTCTTGGCATTGCTGTCTCGCGACAACACGTACAGTGTCCAAGGGAGAAGAACGCGCAGTGCACACCAGAGAGCCGAGACGATCTCACGCGCAGGATCGATTTGGCGATTCTGCCAACAAGTTCGGCACGACTAAGGGCGAGGACGAGAATCGAGAATCAGGGATACGCACAGGTATTGGGAGGCGTGTCTGGGCCTTTTTGGGGAGAAGGAAAAGCGGCATACATCATAAAGTGTTTGAGTCCCTCGCGGACTTCTTGGATCGGCGATGTGCCCCCTTTTTTATGGCGCCTCTGGCGCCGCCCATCTCGCGCTCCGCGCGCCAGGGAAGGGGGGGTCTGGCACCGATCCAAGAAGTCCGCGCAGACCTCCGAAAGCCTATGCGTATGGCCGTTTTTTGCTCCTCTACCGCTAGAGGGGATCCGGAGGCCTCAAGAGTCCCCGCTCATGGTACGGTGGGTGGACTAAAAGTGTCCACGCGTGTCTCGCCAAGACCTTGGCTTCTCAAAGCACGTCGGACCAAGATGTATACCCCCCTTCCGCCCAAAGTCGAAGTTGACGGGTTTGGGCAGTAGGCGAAAGGCCAGGGACAAAATGTGGACACTTCAATTTTGTGGTTTGGGGGAGGGGTGCGAAGCAAGGGCATTTCGCAGTTGTGGTTGTTATCATGTTGCATCGCCTCACCGCCATGGGTGTGGACATTTTTTGTCTGGGCACCCTAGCGGATCGACTCTCGCTGT